AATGGAAAGCTACTGAATTTACTACAGGGTCAGTTTTCTTTTAGACAGTTACCTCAAGATACAGCCTGTTTAACCTCCAGGTGGAAGCAAAATTTGGATCAATGAGGGCCCAATCCACTCTTTCCCTGCAAGCTGCTCACTCATATCAGACTCTGCCTGACACAGGGGGCCCAGAGAAGCTGTGGCTGCCCCATCCCTTGCAGTGTTCAAGGCCAGGTTGGAGTGGGCTTGGAGTAACCTGCTCTAGTGGAAGGTGTCCCTGCCCATGGCAGGGGGCTGGAACTGGATGAGCTTTAAGATTCCTTCAAACCCAAACTATTCCATGATCCTAGGTAACTTTTGCTTCCTGGCTTATGGAAACAGCTCTAAACAGCCAGTCTCCAATTCCCCTCAAGGGACAAGACGCAGCACATAAAGGACCTGCCTGTGAACATCAGACCTACTCCGCCTTGTAACAAGATTTATTCCCTAGAAACTGAGACATTTTTAAGCTGTTGTCCAACCAACAGGGACAATGGTGGATGACTCATTCTGCAGACAAAATGATACATACAAAAGGTCTGCATGCCCCTGACCACATCACCACACTGAACAGTTTATATCACCTCAATTCAAACATCACTCAATAGCTTTAATCAGATAATAAAATACACTTTCTTGTGCCTTACTCTAGAGTCCTTTCTTCCAGGGAGAATCTCTTTTCCAGTCTTACCTTCCTCAAAGTTCATGAAGAATTTTCCCTGTAGGGACACAGACTTTGCAGCCTGCAAAGGGAAGGCTCATTTATGTGAGAGAGCAGCCCAGAAACACTTCCCTAACATTCCGGATCCAAACCCTTCATGTGAAAAAATAAAATCCCCAGAATATCTCTTTAGAAGGAAGATTTTAAAAGCAACCACATTTTCCATAAAGCCTGTCCCTATCTCATGCTGTATTTTAACGTGCCTTTGGTTTCAGCAGCACATTAAGAGTCCAGTTTCTGGTATTATGTGGAAAGCAAAGCACCGGTGCACCCAACTGCTGCTGCAGGACCAGGAAACCAGGAACAGAAACAAACACGGCTTATACTTAACAATACGCCCCAGAGAGCAAAGAAAGAAGTTGTAATCACAGGGGAAGGTAATAACTGACCAGCCACTTACTCTATATATCTTCCTTCATGCATCCCAATTCTCAATCCTGTTGATAGCAACAGCAAAACTACCTCACTGCAAAGCAAACAGCTCCTGTTCAGCCCCACAGCTGAGGAAGCTTTAACAGCACTTTGCAACCACCATAGCTTTTAAGAAATACTACACAATAAAAGGCTTTAACTCTTTCTCCCTCCAGTCCCATGAAGCTACGGATCACCTTACAGGCAAACAACTAATGGGGCTCTGTATTCTTCCTAGTGGATAAGTGAGGAGTTATAGCACTGAAACAGTCTCTTCACATTCACCAACTTGACTCTGGGTGTCCTGAACTAAAAACGTAAGAGTCACTCAACTATCCCATCAAATTCACCTCCTCAATTTATTTAAGGAATGATCGTTATTTCTCAGTTGCTCTTTAATTTTTATGATACATATTTCAAATCACGTGAAGGAGCTTGAATAAGTGCCGCATGACTCCTGCCAAGAGAAAATGATCAGTCAGAGATTACACAACACGCAAAATGCAAATACTCCTTCCCCAGTAAACAGAGACGTTCAAATACACTCTCTTAACAGCCTTTTTCTTTTTGCAAGAAAAGCCATTAAGTAAAAACCCAAACAACTGACATGCAGAACTGCTTTTACCCCAAGCAAATAAGTGAATTACTGGGCCCCAACACTTACTGTTGCAAGAAAGCAAGTACAGTAAAGAAAGGAAATATCCACACAGGAAAAGCCACCAGAGCTGTTAGAAACGGTTTCCCCTCTGCACTCATCTCAGCTTTAGTTAAACCATGAGCTACTGCTAATAAATCAGCAGAAGAAAGCCTGCAGAGCATCCTCTTGGTAGTTCACTGTGCACAGAACACTAGAGCCTGAGAGCGTCCCCCTGTATCATGAACATACAGGCAGAATTAAAGTGTGTGTGTGTGTGTATGTATATATATATATATATATATATATATGATGGCTTGGCTTTGCGAGCAAAGATTTGGGAAGGGCTTTAACCACACTTACTACAAGCACGATGACCAAGGGCATGTGGGATAGGCAAATCTGTTTGGAAAAAAGGCTGCTTAGGCAATCAGGAAGTGTCCAACCAGGACTGTCATCTCCTGAGCAATCTCGAGCTGCCCATGTGCTATAGATATATATATATGTATCGATAGATATATATATACACACACATAAAAGTGAGCAGACACCAGGCACAGCGTAGAGCCCAAAGCCAAGTTTACTCAGCCAGACACATTTATACCATCCAAGAATACACAACTCCTGCCTTGGCTACTCCAGGAGGCAAGATCTGTTAAGGGAAGAGAGAACAAAAGCAACCTTTGTCTTCCTATTCCCAGGCCTTCACATGGGCCTGTTCTGTACTTGGGCTTTAACATGAAACCAACTCAGGACATTTATTTAAGTGACTCCATGAGTGAGGAAAAGAAAATCAATTTAGAGGTTGAAGCACCTTCTAAGTTTCTTCTTCTCCACCCACTTCTTTTTTATATCCAATGCCTATTTCAGGTCTTTTCCTACATCTCTGCCCTCCTATCTTGTCGCACAGCATTAATGTCTTCTTCAGCAATGAGGGGTTCCCCCCCCCCCAAGAAAAAACGATAGGCACAAGCTTATAGCCTGAATTACAGAGCTCCCTTTTTAGATGCTTGGCTGCTTCCACTTCCACCAAGTTTCAAACATACTCAGGATACAGCGTATAAAAGCTAAAAAATCCCTGTTCTTATTAGAAAGTTTAAGTACCATGTTAAAGAAAATACAGTAAGAATTTTACCACCTCTGAGGGCAGCTTATCCTCAGATGCCAAAACTGAACAGAGCCCACAGATGTCTGAGGGTGCACTAATAACATACTGGGTTCATTCTGGAGTACTTACTAAAAAAAAGCTCAGTCTGGGATGTGTTCTGCTGGGGCAGCATCACCACTTATTTGGGAAGTGCTAAGAATGCCCAGGGCTCTCACAGGACACTGTTAATCCAAGCCTGGATGGAAAACCCAGAGAGGACCCTGAGGGAACGGCACACTGGAACCTTTTAATGTTATTACAAAGGGAGTAAAAGCTCCAGACCTGCAACAGGATTCTCACAGCCAAAGCTCTAGGGTCAGAGTCTGCAAAGGTCACTACAAGCATGAGGATCACACCACGCAGCATCTTGGTGTGTGAAAACACACATTTTAGCAACTGTCCTTAAAGCACAAGCCCACATGATTTCAAAGGATGGACTGGATGACCTCCAGAGGTCCCTTCCAACCGTAATGATTCTGTGAGCAGCACAAAACACTTGGAAACACAGTTCAAAGCAGTGCCAAAAAGACCAACTATCCCAAAGAAATGCCTCAGAACCGGAGTTTGATGTCTGCTCCCTATGGACATTGCTGTGTACAAACACCAGCTCTAATACACTCATGTTTGTGTTCCTGAACACGCCTGTGAGTGAGCTTTGCACCTGTCCTTGTGCAGGACTACATAAAACACATTTTCACCTGAACACCACAAAAGCAGGCTCTGCAGAGCAGGGAAACGGCACAGTCTGCTCCCGAGTTTGGGCTCAGGAGTTCCTATTTTTAATCCCCGAGCCATCCCTCGCTTCCTGCACGGCCCTGGGTCAATCTCTCCAGCTGTCTCAGCGTGCCCTCCCACCCCATCAGTACACACCGCACCGCCTCCACCTTGCGCAAGGTTTAAATGGCTCATGTTCAGAGAGCACTTTGGCCACCTCGCCCGCCTGCGCAAGAGCTCGGCACCAGCTGTAAGACACAGACGAGGCTCAGGAGGCCGTGTTTACTTCTTGCTGAAGAGCGGCTTTACCCCACACGCTTCAACACGAGCCACATCAAAACAACACAGGGACGTCGGAGGGGAAATAAGTTAAATAAGAGGGGAAAAGAGGAAAAGAGGAAAGCAGGGCAGCCCTGCTGTCTGCTTCCCTTAGGAATGACTAACACATTGGTAACTCAACATAAAGGCACAGAAAGTACCAACAGGCTGACCTGGGTCGGGCCGTACCTGCTGATAAGGAACAAACCCTCCTCTTCAGAAGGGAAGGCCCAGGAGTGCCGATACGTGCTCCTACCTTTAACTCTTCCCTTTCAGAACGGCGCACACAGCTCCGACTCCACCGGGGTGACATCCTCATAGCACAGATCCCTTCCCCGATCCCCGTAACCGGGGCAGGAACCCCCAGAAGCGGGAGAGAGCTGTTCAGCCCAAAGGCAGAAGGGGAGAGGGGGGTCCCAGCCCACACAGGCCCCAAGTTTTGGGCCTCTGAACCCCAGAGGAAGGGAAGGGGCAGTGGGGGACGGGATGAGGACAGGATGGGGGTGTCTCCACGTACTCTCCGTCTGAAGAATCTCCCGCCGCAGCCCTCCCGCGTACTGGATGAGCTCCTCCAGGCTGCGCTCGCAGAGCTGCCCGTAACCAGAGAACTTCTGCAGCACCTTCTCCAGCTCCCGCTCCACCGTCACGCACTGGTCCATAGCGGCCGGCCCCGGGCCGCGCTGCTCCTCCACTTCCTCCTCCTCTCCCTCCTCCGCCGCCACCGGGCCCCCCTCGCCGCCCTCCGCCAGCACCGTCCCGCCGGCGCGGCCCAGCTCGGCCCGGCCCCGCTCCCAACTTCCCCGTCTACCCCAGGCGGCGGCAGTTGTGCGCAGGCAGCCCCGAAGACAGGCGGGGACCTCAGCGCCGCTTCACTCAGGCAGCGCTGGGGACACCTTCACCGAGGTTCCCGTCACAGCCGCGGTGGGCGGTGTGGCGGATAGGCTCCGCCTGCCGCGGAACCGGGGCCGGGCGTACGGGTACCGCTGCACCGCGGACAGGCGCCGGGCGGGGCAGGGTTGGGCTAGGTTTTGTTCCGGTGAGGTGGCCCATGGAGCAGGCGGCGGGGAGAGGGGATCATCGAGCGGCAGCGGCGCAGGCAGGAAGGCAGGCAGCTAAGAGCGGGGTCCTGAGGGAGGGCGCTGTTGCCTTGGCGACCGGAGGGTGTAGGGCCAGGGCTGAGGTAAACGGCGCGTCTGTGGGGGACCAGGAGTAGAAGGGGGGGGTCACTGCCAGGGACGCGTTGCACAAGTACATAGCGAAGAACAGGTATGTCTGCAGGAGCATGAAAGTCATCATCCCCTGTGCTGGGCACTGGTGAGGCCTCACCTCGAATCCTGTGTTCAGTTCTGGGCCCCTCACTACAAGAGAGACCTTGAGGTGCTGGAGCGGGGCCAGCGAAGGGCACTGAGCTGGTGCAGGGCCTGGAGCACAAGTGTGATGGGGAACGGCTGAGGGACCTGGGGGGTTCAGTGTGGAGAAGAGAAGGCTCAGGGGGGACCTGATGGCTCCCTACAAGTGCCTGACAGGAGGATGGAGCCAGGAGGGGCTGGGCTCTGCTCCCAAGGAACAAGGGATGGGACAAGAGGAAACGGCCTCAAGCTGCACCAGGGCAGGTTTAGATGGAGCTGAGGAACAATTCCTTCCCCAGAGGGTGCTCAGGCATTGGAACAGGCTGCCCAGGGCAGGGCTGCAGTCACCGTCTGCAAGTGTTCACACACCGTGGAGACGAGGCCTCAGTGCCATTGGTTAGTGGTGACCTTGGCAGTGGTGAGATAGAATCAGAATCACAGAACGGTTTGGGTTGGAAAAGACCTTAAGATCATCCAGTTCCAACCCCCCTGCCATGGGCAGGGACACCTCACACTAAACCATGTCACCCAGGACTCTGTCTACCCTGGCCTTGAACATTGCCACGGATGGAGCATTCCCTGGGCAACCCATTCCGGTGCCTCACCACCCTCACAGTAAAGAACTTCTTCCTTATATCCAATCTAAACTTCCCTGTTTAAGTTTTAACCCATCACCCCTTGTCCTATCACTAGAGTCTCTAATGAAGAGTCCCTCCCCAGCATCCCTATAGGCCCCCTTCAGATACTGGAAGGCTGCTATGAGGTCTCCATGCAGCCTTCTCTTCTCCAGGCTGAACAGCCTCAACTTTCTCAGCCTGTCTTCATACAGGAGGTGCTCCAGTCCCTGATCATCCTCGTGGCCTTTTCTGGACTTGCTCCAACAGTTCCATGTCCTTTTTATGCTAAGGACACCAGCACCGCACACAGTGCTCCAAGTGAGGTCGTATGAGAGCATAAAGTTGGACTCAATGATCTTAAAGGTCTTTTCCAACCTAGCTGATTCTGTGAAGAGTCAGGGCTGCACTGAGAAGCCTGGCATGCCAGAAACAACATTCAGCCTGTCATTAAGTTGTTAATTTGTTCATTAAACTTCCTCCTGGGTTTTCTGTTGACTTACAGAGTGAAGTCATGCAGCTGACACACATCTGGTAAAACTGCTCAAAAGAAGTGTCTCAGCTCAAGCACCATTTGTTTAACACACTTCAGTGTCAGTGCTGGAAACAGCAGCACAAGCCTTATGTTTTCTGTAGCATGGTACAACCGAAGCTTCTTATAAACCTGGACAAAGCTGACTGGAAAAGTGGTATTTGGTCTGAGGCTGGGACAATGTTGCTTCATCTATGCCCATAGAGGACAAGAAAATCCAGACATCTCTATCGTAAAAACACAGGAGATGGTTACAAGTCACCTTTGTTCTGTCTGATTTAGACCCAAACTGCTACGTTTGTTTGTGTTCTTGCTCTTTATGTTAACATAGATAATGTTTAAAGATGGGCACAACCTTCTCATTTCTTAGGTCATTAGTACAGTGGTTTAACTTGTTACATTCTTTACCACTATTGGGCTTTTTGGTCATCTCAGCACATTTGAGCAAGGTATCATCTGTATTTTTTTTTGGGGGGGTCATTAAACAGAGCCTCACTTCTCCAGGGGACAAAAAATAGTTTGTCACTCTTAAAAGAAAATACCAACTGCCTAGGGGTTATAGTGCAAGCTTTAATTGATGTATTCTGCTCCTGTAGGTTGGCTTGGCCTCAACTGATGCACATTTCTGTGCTGTTTGACTACTGAATGCTTGCAGGCAAGGAAAATTGACACCAGAAAAGAGGGGGTGACTGTCAGGCAACACTGCAGACTGTATAAAGCCATGAGCAACCTGTTCTAGTGTCACAGCTGAGCCTGTGTCGAGCAGGTTGGAATTTATAGCTGCCTGAGATCCTGTCCAACCTGAACTACCAAGTGAGTCACTATTGGATCATCCAAAGAGCTGAGCTTCATCTAAGGTGTCAAATATTGGTCATTTTATTACACATTAACACCTATATATTAAATTGCTTCAATTTGGCCTCTTGTAGATAGTAGGAAACATCTCCTGATTGAAAATTCCTTGACGTACACAAAACAATATCTGGGCTGCTGTTGTCTCGCTTTGAGACTCTCAGGCAGGCTTGCTGGTTTGTTTAATATCAGATAATGACAAGTTTCTTTAATATCTGATAATGTCACTGTTTCATATCACACAAAAGTGTGTTGAGATGCACCCTTGTTTAAGAAGTACATCAAGAGACTCTATGATATCAACTATCAATTGCATTGGCTGGCTTGTAGGAAAACCAGGTTTCGGGTACTTTATTACTTTGCTGAAGTTGATGTTGATATGTGGTACCATAAACTGTCCCAAAAGAAGGGTCTGATAATATTTTAACATGAGAAGGGACTGAATTGAGATTTTCAGTCCTTAGTTTCACTGTTCAAAGTGACAATACTTTTCTGAATGTTCCCCATAAGAGTCTGGGAAGTGGATTATTGTCCCAGTTCAGAACTGCTTCTAGCAGAGAACAGGGGAGGAGGGGGAATCCTTGCCATTTATCAACAGGCAGCAGAAACTTCAGATTTGGCTGCTTGACAGGAGAAGATGCTGTTCCAGCCTCAGGATTTGATTTCATTCTCTCATAAATCTGAGTACAAAATTCTTACTGCCAAAATTGTTTAAAAGCAAATCCCTGATTCAGGTTTTATTTCTTAAAGGTGGAATTTATGTTCTTCATTCTCTTCCCATTCGTAATATTTGCTCTATGAGCACAGGACTGATGACTGTTTAATGCTGTTCATTAGGCAGAGTTAACCCTGGGGTCTTTAAAGATGTCAGCGTGTGTCATCTCTGTCTTCAGTCCAAATGAATTGCAATTCATTGTTAAGATATCCTCATTTTCCAGAGAATTAAAACCCCCTGAATAATGGTTTGCAGGTGACATGTCAAGGATGTTCTGGGTTGCAGCTGGAAACCAACAAAGAACATACAACATTCTCTGGTAGGATCAGCTCAGTAAAACATGGATGTAAAGGTGGGAGGAAAGAGATGGCCAGAGAGGAACCAAATCAGTCTGGGTTCTCTCTGCCAAGCCTTTGATGAGCTCCTCACCAGCAGCTCTTGGTCATACCCATCCCCTCTCTTCATTTGCAGCCCTGCCATTGTCCTGCCTTGTTCCCCAGGTGCTTCTGCGTTGGCAGCTGTTTTGCTTTGGGTTGTTCTGGCAGGTTTCAAGTCCTGGTTCGAAGCATCATTTTTACTTTCTGGGAACGACTGCAGGGGTTTGAGTTTTGGCAGCTGATTAACTCCATCTCTCAGGGCACTCATCATCAGTTACCACTGGGGAATGTGAGGAATTGGTTTAACTCAGCCCAGGAGCATTAGGAAGTGACATATTGGTGACAGCCTCCCCAGCAGCTGGTGTCACAAATAGTTTAGCTTTGAGCGTAGGCTCATGATTGTTGAGGGTGTTTCCTGCTGGAGGGGGCGAGGGCACCCCCAAATTCAGGCCAGATTGGATGGGGCTTGGAGCAGCCTGGTCTAGTGTGAGGTGTCCCTGCCCATGGCAGGGGGGTTGGAACTGGATGATCTTAAGGTCCTTTCCAACCCAAATTATTCTGTGATTGTATGGAATAAGCTGCAGGGGAGAACCACAGGGCTCAGGGGCAGAGAGCTCTGCGGTGCTCATGAAAAACAAACCAACCAGCATAAAAAACCCCAACAATACCTTTTCAAACCAAAGTTAAATACACAAAGTTCCTCTTCAAGTGCCTAACTCGCATCTCTTCCACCCACCCATCACTTCACATACACTCGAGCTGCCACTTGAAATGAAAGGTAGGGAAATCTTGTATTTGAGACAAAAGAAATGGGCCTTCAAAACGCTGCTGAAAAATAACTCTGTTAACTGTGTTGTTGGTGTGTGCTTTCAGGGCTGAGACAGCCTGCCTCTGCCCTCACAACTGGTAGTGGTAACTGTGTGGTTTGTGGAAGTCCCATGGCTCTGGCAGCTGCAGTAAGAAAACCACCTCTTGTGCTTTTGATGGGGAAACGGATTTATCTTATCAACACTTTGGGAGATGGGCCCTGGCCCTGCTGAACAGAGTTCACCAAACTGCAGTGGTGTTGAAGGAGGGAGAAGCACTTCAGCTCCATACCAGAGGCACTGGACTGTGCCTCTGGTATGTTCTGTTGCAGCTGGACCCCTCACCCAAACCCATCTGGGCTGCTGAAATCCCTTTGCATTTAATCACAGGCTGGTTTGCATTGGAAAGGACCTTAAAGCTCACCCAGTTCCAACCCCTGCCACAGGCAGGGACACCTTCCACTAGAGCAGCTTGCTCCAAGCCCCTGTGTCCAGCCTGGCCTTGAACACTGCCAGGGATGGGGCAGCCACAGCTTCTCTGGGCACCCTGTGCCAGCGCCTCAGCACCCTCACAGGGAAGAGCTTCTGCCTAAGAGCTCATCTCAGTCTCCCCTCTGGCAGGTTAAAGCCATTCCCCTTGGCCTGTCCTTACAGGCCCTTGTCCCAAGCCCCTCTCCAGGCTTCCTGTAGCCCCTTTAGGCACTGGAGCTGCTCTAAGGTCTCCCCTTCAAGAGCCTTCTCTTCTCGAGGCTGAACAAGCTCAGCTCTCTCAGCCTGGCTCCAGAGGAGAGCTGCTCCAGCCTTCGCAGCATCTTCATGGACTCCTCTGGACTTGCTCTAACAGGTTCTTGTCCTTCTTATGCTGCTCCCCAATGAAGCTGCATCAGCAAAGACAGCGTTTGCAGCCCACCTCTCATCTTTTCCACATAAAATTCTGACGAACAGTGTGAGACACAATATTTAGCAGCCCATGAGGGCTCAGTCTGAGAGTAGCTACTTCTGCCATCCCTCCACTCTTCCCCTTTACTGAAGAAAAGTGCCATGATCTTTCTTCTCAAGGAGGCCATGGTGGCTGTGTGACCAAACAGGCTGAACCTGGGGTTGGTTTGGGTTTTTTTCCCCTTTTAAATCAAACCAGCACACTGGGAACCCTGTAAATGTGTTTTAGAGGCTCTGAGGAGTACAACCATTTAAATGCTTTCTGCAGGTCAATATTAATGTGCCCTTTTGCAATGCAATAGCACAGTGAGTTCAGTGTGTATACTCTGGGGGTTGTCAGTGTTGTTAGAATTAAGCTGTGCTATTTCTGTCCTCATCTGTATGAGCTGGCAATTTTCATGCAAATGATGAAGTCTTAAAATAACTAAACATACAAAAGAAGTGTTGAGTTTCCTTCCGAGGAGAGCCTGGGTCTCAAAGCAGCAGCTTGAATTTAGCATGGGGGTGTTTTTTGCAGCAGACTAAATTGTATCGTTGCAGATGAGCACTTGTTGTGTAGCCTGGGACGATGGTTTGTGGATCCACTTAGAGGAATGCACTGGGCTGAAAAAGACCTTTAAGATCATCAAGATCCGTCAGATCAAGTCCATCTAGGCCCACGTGTGTGGCCCAAGCACAGAACCCGGCACGCTGCACTCCACGTGTGAGGAATAGGCCCAATTTCACCAACAAGCTCTGAGTGCTCGAATGCCAGTGGGAATCATAGAATCATAGCATAGCTAGGGTTGGAAAGGACCTTAAGATCACCAGTTCCAACCCCCCTGCCATGGGCAGGGACACCTCACACTAGACCATGTCACCCAAGGCTCTGTCCAATCTGGCCTTGAACACTGACCAGGATGGAGCATTCACAACTTCCCTGGGCAACCCATTCCAGTGCCTAACCACCCTTACAGTAAAGAACTTCTTCCTTATATCCAATCTAAACTTCCCCTGTTTCAGTTTTAACCCGTTACCCCTTGTCCTATCACTACAGTCCCTAATGAAGAGTCCCTCCCCAGCATCCCTATAGGCGCCCTTCAGATACTGGAAGGCTGCTATGAGGTCTCCACGCAGCCTTCTCTTCTCCAGGCTGAACAGTCCCAGCTTTCTCAGCCTGTCTTCATACAGGAGGTGCCCCAGTCCCCAGTCATCCTCGTGGCCTCCAACAGCTCCATGTCCTTCTTACGCTACGGACACCACAGCTGCCCACAGTGCTGCAAGTGGGGTCTCACAGGAGCAGAGTAGAAGCTGCAGAATCCGGGTTTTAACCTGGGCAGATGATTTCACTTCATCCAGTGAAGAGCTGGGAGCGGGGCTGGTGCGTGGATGCAAGAGATGGAGGGCTCAGCACCCTGAGTCCACATAAATCGTGTCCACTGAGCCACATTCAAACTGACTGACCCAACGACCTCTCCACCGGAGGGATATATATATAAATACTATACATGTAAGACATATAAAATAGATGTGTATATATATATAAAATACTATGTATGTAAGACATATAAATAGGTGTGTGTGTATATATACATATTTATATATATATAAAAATCTCTGGGTCCCAACTTGATGCCGGGGGCGATCCACATCCGCGCCCGGTGCTGAATCACCGCGGGGCCACGGCACTACCGGGTCCCCGCACCCCGCGCTCCCTCCGTTCCCCGCCCTCCGCCGTCCCCGGCTGCTCACGTCACTTGTTATGTCTCCACCGGCGGCTCCGCCGGGGCGGGGACAGCGGCGGGAGGGAGGCGGGAGCCCCGTGGCCCCGCGGCGCTGACACTCTCCCCCCCCCCCCCCCCCCCCCGCCCCTACACACACCCCGCACCCCGGCCCCGCTCCGCTCCGCCCCGCCGCAGCCCGGCCTCCGGCTCGGCGGCCCCTCGGCGGGCAGCCCCGGCGGGAAGATGTGGGTGAAGCTGTGCTGTTTGCTGCTCTACTTCCTGGCGCTCTTCGTGCTGGCCAGGGTGTTCGAGGCCGTGGCGTGGTACGAGAGCGGGTTCCTGGCCACGCAGCTGGTGGACCCGGTGGCGTTGAGCTTTAGGAAGCTGCGGACTATCCTGGAGTGCCGAGGGTTGGGGCATTCCGGGCTGCCCGAGAAGAAGGATGTGCGGGAGCTGGTGGAGAAGTCAGGTACGCCGTGACCCTTGGGATGGAGAGCCCGGCGCTGCGTCCCACGGTCGGACGGGGAATTTAGGGAGGGAGTTGGTTGGTCACACTGAGGACCCCAGGCGCCGGAGGGGTTCGATGGAGGAAGGCAAAGGGGGGAAGCTCGGGCATGGTGGCGTTGGAAGCTAGAACGGGCTGCGAGGAGGGAAGGCCTCGGTGAGCAGGGTCATCGAGCAAGGGTTTCTTCCCGCTGGGTTACGCGGGTCGGGGTCGGGGTGGTGGTGGCACAGAGGAGGGCGAGTGTCGTGTGCTGTGATAAACAAGGACGAAAGGATCCACATCTGTGTCGCTGTTTGCAGCCGGGGCCAGCTTGTTTCCCCCATGTATTCATCTGGAATCCCGTTTGCTGATTTTATTACAGGTCTTGCTATCAAGATGGGTCCTGAGGAAGGCAGTGATTTTATAGCAGGAGGGATGGGTACCGAGGGATGTGGCGCTTTGATAGAAGAGGAGCAGAAGTACATCCTACGTACAGAAAATGGCTTGGAAAAAGGCAGGGAGGCATTTGGGAAGTAGGGAAAACAGGGTGAAGGAGGTGGACTTTCGGGGAATGATGAATAGCAGAAGGTGAAGAGCTCTGGCGATGCGAGGAACGGCTCAAGTATCCTGAGAGGCAGGGTGCTGGCCTGGGGTGGCTGGAGGGAGCTGCCCCAAGGCCTGGGAGATGGGGCTGATGT